TGTGTGTGTTATTTGTTTTACTATGTGTATGTGTGTTTGCTATGTGTTTTACTGTGTGTATGTGTGTGTGCTATGTGTTTTACAATGTGTATGTGTGTGTGCTATGTGTTTTACAATGTGTATGTGTGTGTGCTATGTGCGCGGTAGACCTGTACATTTCTTCCCTCACTGGAGTTACCTTGAAGTAGCGGCGGAGGTCGTTGATGGAGATGTAGCCCTTGTTGTCAACGTCGAGCGACTTGAAGCGATGAACGAACTGGTTGATCTCCGCCTTGGTGAAGTTGAGCGGGACGTCCTTCTCCGTCAGACGCTTGATGTCCAGACCCATCTCTGCCCTCAGGTAGCGCTCGGCGTGGGCTATCTCTTCCTGTATCACGGGGGGGAGGGGGGGGGAGAGAAAAAAAAATCGTTTTAATAAGAGTTTTACGGCACTTGCAACACAATAAGGTCATAGAAGTGTCGAAGATTTAGAGGTGTTAAAAGAGAGTAACAAACACAAAAAAGAAGGAGACGTTCTCAGACGTTCATCAACCATTCAGCAGTCATAAAGAGTGACATCTTTTGGTATTTACTTCAGCTCAGTGCGTCCATTCGTCATTTAGTCATGTTTAGTGTGCTCGGTTGCGCCGGTAGTGAGCGCATATTACGCCCCGGCGACTAACACGGAATTGTAAGTGATAAGGAAAATGTAGATGACGTCATAACTTCAGACAAAAAAAATCCGTAATCCAAACAAAAAGTCAAATCAAAGTCAAATTTTAAAAAATCAATAATCAAAACAAAAATTACAAAGTCAAATCAAAGTCAAAATCAACTCCATGATGCCACAGCCCCTGCCAACGTTGAACAAAACTCAACACAAACGTCAAAGCCAAAATCTCAGTGGCCAACAACTTGAGAAGCAAACGGAACCCAATTTCTTCCTCACTCGTTCCCCCTGAATTGTTCTATCTTACAAATCCTTCTTTAATTATGTTTAGTGTGCTCGGTTGCGCCGGTAGTGAGCGCATATTACGACCTGGCGACTAAGGAAGATGCAGATGACCTCCTAATTTCACAGACAAAAACAATCCATAAACCAAACAAAAATTCTAAAGTCAATTCCAAGACAAAATCAACTCCATGATGCCACAGCCCGTGCCAACGTTGAACAAAACTCAACACAAACGTCAAAGCCAAAATCTCAGTGGCCAAACACTTGAGAAGCAAACGGAACCCAACTCGTTCCTCACCCCGTCCCCCCGAATCTCTCGGTCTTACAAATCCTTCTTCGGCACCGAGCCGCCTCCCTTCCTCGGCGACGCTGAACCTCCCTTCCTGCGCTCGCCCGTGCCCGGCCCCGCCCCCTCGGGTTCCGAGACAGGGTCAAAGGGGTCACGACAGGCGTGGCAGGGCTCCTCCTTACACTGCCACTCTTCGATGAATGGTTGACCCATCTGTTCCCGCAGCATCGTCTCTGCCATCTCCAGCTCTTGCTGATAGGCGGCGATAGAGAGAGAGAGGGGAGGGAGAGAGAGAGAGGGAGAGAGAGAGGGAGAGAGAGGGAGAGAGAGGGAGAGAGAGAGAGAGAGAGAGAGAGAGAGAGAGAGAGAGAGAGAGAGAGGGGGGGAGGAGAGAGAGGGTGAGAGAGGGAGAGAGAAAGAGAGAGAGAGGGAGAGAGAGAAAGAGAGAGAGAGAGAGAGAGAGAGAGAGAGAGAAAAAAAGAGAGAGAGAGAGAGAATGTTTTACGGAGCGGGTTGTTTCAGCTCGTGAGACATGTATTTACTAATGTCCAGTCTTGTTGTGAGTGTATGCGTGAGTGCACCTAACCTTTGTAACGTCTACTGCCACTGTTAACGACCAAGACAAATTCCTCCCTGCGAAATGAACAAAGATTGTCATTGTCATTGTTATTGCGTCCACGAAAGACGTAGCAGGGATCCTCCTTACACTGCCACTCCTGGATGAACGGTTGACCCATCTGGTCCCGCAACATTGTCTCTGCCATCTCCAGCTCTTGCTGATAGGCGGTGCAGAGCGTTCCCCCAAAGTGACAAATCAAGTTGTTGTTGTTAGCGATCCAGTAGCATCTGAGAGTTAACTCTTCTGCATGATGCCATTCGGTAATAGTTGCATGTTTGTTCTAATTGTTGTCTTGAGGAGTAGAGGCAATTAGATGTGTGGGGTAGCTTGGGAAGAAAACATCCCCTTAAGTCAGTTAGTTTTCTTTACAAATCAAGTATGAAACACATTTTTCACCATCACTTCTTGTACTGCAGTTTTTTAGTTTTTAGTAAGTGTTTTACAGCTCTTGCAACACAATGAGGTCACATAAGTGCCGAAGATTAGAGTTTTAGTTTTAGTAGAGGTTTTACTGCGCTCGCAACTGCATAAGGTCATATGAGCGCCAGAAGATTAGAGGTGTTACAAGAGAGTAACAAACATAAAAAAGGAGGGGAGACACGGACGACAGATATTTGATAGGAAAGAAGGAGCAGACCACACCAGAGCACCCGCCAACCACCCACTCTTGGCTTCAGCACACAACACATGTACATAGACATACAAAACATACACACAGACATAAAGACAAGCACGAATGAACACAGCCCCACAAAACAGTCTTGTCGGCGTCGTACCTTCTTCCTCTCCTCGCTCCACTTGAGCTCCTGAGCCATCATCTCCACCACACGGGGTAGAGCCTCTTGAGCAGCGTGCACGTTCACGAAGGACAGACGCGTCCGCCGAGCCAGCACATCAATGGCGCGACACGCATACTCACGGATTGCGTATTTCACCTGAAAAGTCAACATTTTAAAGTTACATCCATTTCTTGAAAAATGATGGCTTTGTTTTAGTAAGTGTTTTACGGGCACTTGCAACACAATAAGATCATGTAAGTGCCGAAGATTAGAGGTGTTACAAGAGAGTAACAAACACAAAAAAGAAGGAAGGGGAGATAAAGACGATACACATTTGATAGGAAAGAAGAAGCAAACCACACCAGAGCACCCACCAACCACCCACTTTCTTGTGATGACTGAAAAGAAAAACGAAAAACCCAGTCAAGAAATCGACAATTCATGAAATAATCAACATTAGCTATTACGAAGCTTAAACATATGTGACAAAAAAAATTATGAAAATAATGTTTTCCAACCACTCAAAGTAAGACCACAAAATCTGAAATTATGTTGAAATTGATCCGGTCGACATGAAAAATTAAAGTTCTAACTCAGGGACTCAGGTCGTCTACATCATGTCGTATATGTGAGGCAGTGTGCAGAAATCAGGTGCTCGTCAAAATCATCAAAGTGAAGAAACTGGCATTTTCCTGATAGATTTGGAATTTTTACCTTTCTTTTTTCTTCTTGGCTTAACACCTTTCAGGCCCATTAAGAAAACATTTCTGGATGAATTTTACTGAAAACGTTGATTAAAGGCACAAAAAATGTAAATTATCAGTTTCCATGGACTCTCAAGCTAAGGAAATAACTCAACTTTGGCGCCCATTTTCTCACTTATTTTACCTCTGAACCCCACCTACTTCATTCGCAAATATCTCGGCATGTAGTCAAGATAAATGGATTTTTTTTTTTTAGAAAACCTGACAAAAACAAGCTTTAAGATACCAATAACTCTACCTGCCCAAAAATTGACAAGCGCCTGATACCACCGTATCGTGACACATATGGACTATTTTTACAACGAGCTGCCTGGAGATGGGGCAGAAACCACACAATTTTAGAAATACCGATTTTCAGACTTTTTAGTTTAGCTTTAGTAAGAGTTTTACTGCACTTGCAACAGAATAAGGTCATATGAGTGCCAAAGAATAGATGTGACAAGAGAGTAACATACACAAAAAAGAAGGAGGAGAGATAAGGACGATAGATGTTTGATAGGAAGGAAGGAGCAAATCACACCAGAGCACCCATCAACCACCCACGATTTTCAGATTTTTATATCTGAAAAAAACCCCAACAAAAACAATTTGTGGAAAGTTGAAATTTGCCTTGCTTTTTTTGTACGTTCCTGATGAAGCCCGTGATTGGACGAAACATTTACATCTAATAAACCAGCTCCCCTGTCAATAAACGTGGGAGACGAGACAAACAGTTTACCTCTCCCTCAATGTACGGGTACTCCTCGTGCAGTCTCTTGCCTACCACCGGCCACCGTTTGCCCGTCATGTTCGACAGTTTGGCGACCTTGAAGGCCTTGTCTCCATAGGTGCGGGCTAAATGCTGGGCCACCTGGGGGAGAACAAGAAAAGAAAGGTGTGATTCTTTTCAGTTTTAGTAGAGGTTTTACGGCGCTCGCAACTGTATAAGGTCATATGAGCGTCAAAAGATTAGAGATGTAACAAGAGAGTAACAAACATAAAAAAGAAGAAGGGGAGATAAGGACGATAGATGTTTGATAGGAAAGAAGGAGCAACCCACACTAGAGCACCCGCCAACCACCCACAGGAATGATTCATCCGTGGTGGGCCAGTTGAGTTGAGCTGAAGGGACGCACATAAACACAATATGGGAGTCATTTCAAGTTGAGAAAAAGAATAGAAGACTAGCATAGTTTGTTTTTGTAAGTGTTTTACTGTTCTTGCAATGCAATAAGGTCATATGAGCGCCAGAAGATTAGAGGTGTTACAAGAGGTAACAAACATAAAAAAGAAGAAGGGGAGAATAAAGACGATAGACGTTTGATAGGAAAGAAGATGCAAACCACACCAGAGCACCCACCAACCACCCACCTAGCTTAGTTTCAGTAAGAGTTTTCCTGCAACTTCAACACAAATAAGTAATATAACCACCAAAGATTAGAGGTGTTACAAGAGAGCTACATACAAAGAAGAGAAGGAGGAGAGATAAGGATGATGGACGTTTGCTAGGAACATATGGAGCAAACCAAACCACAGCACGCATCAACTATCCAACTATCCGTTTGGTTTAGATCAGTTGGGAGTTGGAAGAGAAGCACATGGACACAATCACAGATATTTTGAGGAGAGGGGAAGAAAAAGAAATACAGCACCCTCAAGCCACCCTCACCAGCAGTGGACGAATGGACTAAAACGTAGATGATTAATGTGATAAACAATTTCTGGTAAATTGAAATTTACCGCCAGACAGCAAAAGAATCACATTTTCACATTGCAATGTTTACCTCCCCATCAATACAAATTGGGTTAATCAAGCCGACTCACAGCGTTCTCCAGTCCATAATCTTGTACCAGTCGGATAAACAGCGTGGGTGACCATCCGTGCGCCCCGTCCAGCAACAGTCCCTTGGTCCGGCACGGGTTGCTGGGCTTCAGGTCACACACCTCGATCGCTTTGTCCATCGTCTCCTCCGCCATCGAGCGGTAGGTCGTCCACTTGCCACCTGCGGTCAGTGCAAGTCATGGAGAGAGAGTTTAGAGACATTCTTTTAGTAAGGTCTTTTCTTTTAGTTTTAGTTGGTCTATGTCATAGCTGGAAAGAACAATTGTGGCAATAGAGTTGTGGTTCATAAGACACTTGCTACGTATCCCAGGGAGAGCTAGAAAAACGAATGAAGAAGTCTTGGTTGAAGCAAATTGCAGAAGACAGCTTATGACGAATATAAGAAGGCGACAGGCAAATTTCTTCGGACACACAAGGCGGAAAGAAGCATAGGAGAATATTGTAACAACAGGCAAGTTTGATGGAAAGAGAGACAGAGGGAGACAGAGGGAAAAGATACTGGACAAGATGACAACATGGCTGGGAGCAGCAAGAACGACAGACACCATCGCTGCAAAGCAAGACAGAGTGAAGTGGAGGTCCATGATCGGCCACGCCAGTCGGCCAGGCACCGGATGATGATGATATCATAGTAGACACAGACAAGAGATTCTTTCCACACATACATGTCTTTGAATAACGAAATTATTATACATATTGTAGTGAACAGATTAGTAATAAGGCAGGCGGGTTGACGATGAGTGTGGGAACGGTAAGTTTAGTTTTAGTAAGAGTTTTACGGCACTTGCAATGCAATAAGGTCATATAGGTGCCGAAGATTAGAGGTGTTACAAGAGAGTAACACACATAAAAAAGAAGAAGGGGAGAGAAGGACGATAGACGTTTGATAGGAAAGAAAAAGCAAACCACACCAGAGCACCCGCCAACCACCCACCGTGCAGGGTCAGAAAGGCAATGATGATGATGACAAAAGAGCACTGGCCACAACAGTGCACAGTCTAGAAAAACAAGTCTATGAGACAGAAGAAAAAATGTGCAGTCAGTTTTAGTTATTTTTTTGGTTTTTTCCACAGCAGTAATAAAAATAATAATAATAATAATAATAATAATAATAATAATAATAATAATAAATAGCATTTGTATAGCGCATGTCCCCACTCGAAAGCAAGCTCTATGCACTTTACACTATATTATTACCCCAGCAGACCGTAGAACACTCAGAAACATTCTCAGCTTCCCGGGAAGCATAGAGTCCAAACAGCTGGTTAAGCACTCAAACGCTAACAAACTGACAAGATCTTTCGCTGTCTATGGCCGGATACCCATTTTCACCGGGGGGTTAAGTGGGGGAAAATTCGTGTAAACTGCCTTTCCCAAGGACACAACATCGGGCCCGCGGCTCAAACCCCCGAACCCGCAAACTCACGATTACGTGTCCGGTAGCCTAACCACCGACGGTATTTTTTGTCTCACCGGCGATGGTGACCAGCTTGTTCTTGGAGACCTCGATGACGTGATTGCGAGCGATGGACTGCGTGTCTGTCTTGTTCGGGTCGGAAACCAGAGGTCGAATACCGCTCCAGGCAGATAGAACGTCTCCTCGACGTACTGAAACATATAACAGATTCTTTTAAATAATAATAATAATAATACTAATAACTATAATAAATGACATTTATATAGCGCTCAACCCCGATTAAAGTACACAGGCTCTGAGCGCTTTACAATACAGTACAACGTACAACAGTAACATAAAACATTGTGTTCTGACTAAAAGAAAATCACTCCAAATATTCGTCTTATTAATTTAAAAACAGAAACGACTCCAGCTGACATTATTTTCATGATCAGGTAATTGAGTAATGTGTTCAACAATTTGTGGTAAGTTGAAATTTACCTTGGGTTTTTTTTTTATATTCCTGATGAAGCCCGTGATCGGCCGAAACGTTGAATGTATATAAAATAATTTTGGAAATTCATCAAGTCTCAACCTTTTTTAATTTTGCCTGGGTGGCAGCCGAGGCGTACTCATATCTATTTAGGACCACCAAGGGATCTTTAACGTGCGCAACTTGCACACGGGACCTCCGAGATTTTTCAACCATGTCCGAGAAGGCTAGGTGTAGATCTTTCCTACCAGAAGATCAGGGGTGTGGCAGAAAGACAGCAGTAAGGAGGAGCCTAGGAGTAGTAGTAGAAAGGCTGCAGAAAGAGTCAGGAGCCCAGAAGAGGGGGGCAGAGGATGGAGGTGAGGGGGGAGGGGGCAGAAAGTGGAGACAATAGCAGACGACAGAATATTGCTGGAGAGCAGGAAAGAAGGTGAAAAGAGAGACAATTTTGTTAGAGAAGAAAAATTTCCGTCATTATCCTTTTCAATTTAGTATAGGGTTTTACGGCGCTCGCAACTGCATAAGTGTCATTATCCGGATTCGAACCCGAGACCTATTGAATGAGAGGCGAACACCTTAACCTCTTCACGGTAAGAGCAGATAAAGTGTAGCATGTAAAGTATGTATATAACCTGAATTGGACATTTCAGAGCTCTCTCTCCATACATCCCTTCCTTTCCCCCCCCCCACCACACACACACACACACACACACACACACACACACACACACACACACACACACACACACACACACACACACACACACACACATGCATACACACACATGCACAGGCACACACACACAAATTCACGTCGTCTTTCGAGACGCACTCTCACCTTCTTTAGTTTTAGTATGAGTTTCACGGCACTTGCAACACAATAAGGTCATATAAGTGCCGAAGATTAGAGGTGTTACAAGAGAGTAACAAACATAAAAAAAGAAAGAAGGGAGATACAGATGACAGACTTTTTATAGGAAAGAAGGAGCAAACCACACCAGAGCACCCACCACCAACCACCCACACTCTCACCTTCCACATCTGGGCTGAGGTAATTTCTGATCTCCTTCAGGATAAACTGTATCTCTTTCTCCGTAGGCTGAGGGTTGTCCTCCACTTTGCACGGAGTGTCGGTTGTGCCTGGGCAGAGAGAGATTGTAGTTTGAGCAGGGATTTTACGGCGCTCGCAACACAATAAGGCCATATGAGAATTGTGTGCGTGTGTATGTGTGTGTGTGTGAGAGAGAGAGAGAGAGAGAGAGAGAGAGAGAGAGAAAGAGGGAAAGAAAGAGAGAGAGAGAGAGAGCAGGAAGAAAATGACCCTCAACAACAACAACAACAACAAAAAACCCAACAACAACAAAAAACCCAACAACAACAACAACAACAACAACAACAACAACAACAACAACAACAACAACAACAACAACGACACAACAAGCTCAAACAGCCATGCCACCTAACATGCCAGGGCAGGAAGAACAACAACAACAACAACAACAACAACAACAAGAAAGCAACATTTTTTTTTATAGTAATTGCATACGGTCATATGAGTGCCAAGGGGTGGGTGTCAACAGAGAAGTCTTTACAGGGAATCAGACTTAGACTGCTCACCTCTCTAGCTTCAACAGCACAAGGTCTGCATCGACTATCAAGGCACCCCGGGAATAGCAGGTCACAAGAGAGTGACAAACATACAAAAGAAGTAGAGGGAAATGACAATAGTAAGGATTACGAAAGAAAAAGCAGCAGTTCCCTGTTGTAGATCAGGCACAGTTATGAGCGTGACAGGAGTCAGCCCATTCACAATTCTACTATGCTTAAATGAGAAATGTCCCGCCTTTGGGAATGGCCTAAAAACACTACAGTCAGTGGCACTGGCCCGGGGGGGTAAAAAATCGTTTATTACGCATGTTTCTTGCAATGACGAAAGTAACAACGACAACAACAACAACAACAACACAACAAGCTCAAACAACGTCGCCAACTAACCAACCTGCCAACGTGACATTCTGCCAGGGCAAGAAGAAGACGACCCTCAACAACAACAGCAACAACAACAACAACAACAACAACACAACAAGCTCAAACAACGACGCCAACTAACCAACCTGCGAGTGTTACATTCTGCCAGGGCAGGAAAAAGATGACCCGGCCGTCCGACGTGGCGGGGTCCAGGAGACCCATGCTCTCGGGGCTGTAGTAGTCCGGCAAGACGATATGGACGCCCGAGCTGGGCTGGCAGATCTCCTTGGACTCCGTGTCGCCCATGGAGCGGACTGAGTCCGTGTACGGGCCCGTGGCGTTGATCACGCACTTGGCGCGGATGTCGTATTCTTCTCCTGAGGATGCATTGTATTATTTGATAGTTTTAGTAAGAGTTTTACGGCACTTGCACCTGCATAAGGCCATACAAGTGCCAAAGATTTGAGGCGTTACTAGAGGGTGACAAACACAAAAAAGAAGGAATGGAGATAAAGACGGTAGATGTTTGATAGGAAAGAAGAATGAAACCACACAAAGTCTGTTTCGACTACCAAGCCACCCCGTAAATAGCAGTTCACAAGAGAGTGACAAACATACAAAAGAAGTAGAGAAAAAAATATGGTGGAATCAGGCGCTCCTCAATTTGGGGGCATGTGGAGTTAATCTTATCATCAGAAACCTGATCTATTTACCTTGCTTCAAATGAAATAAATATCCATTTATCTTGAAAAGAACTCAAGATATTTGTGATTGAGGGACGTGAGGCTGCCTGGTTTCAATGGGGAAATTTACAAAGAAAATAGCCTCCAAAGTTTGGAAACATATAGCTAAAGAGTCTTTCAAAACTGAAAGATGACATATTTTGTGCCTTTCATCAGCATTTTTCAGTAAAATTCAGACGAAAATATGTTTTTATATGGACATAAAAGAGGTTAAGCCAAAAGCTAAAAATTTTCGATAAAAATTTCCCAACTGGTGGAAAAATGTCCATTTCTCCGATTTCGTTATTTTGACGAGTGAGCGCTGGATTTTACCACGCTGCCTCACATTTGGTCGCTTTTAAGCACAAGGGGGTTATCCCGAAAAATGTTGTTTTGAGAAAATCGAAGGTAAAGTTTTTGCCCCTTGTTCAGTTTATTTAAAAGACAAGGAGTGTTTTCTCTATAACCAAACAAATATACACACCTATGAAACCAACCTTCTACTATAGGAAGGGCAGTGCCCACTTTTGCAACAAAACAGATTCTGAAATCTGGGTTAGCCCGCTTGTCCTTAAAACACCAATTTCTCCGATTTCGTAATTTTGACGAGCGCCTGATTTCACCCCGCGGCCTCACATTGGTAGATGTGTCCTTGAACGTACCTGTGAGCGTGTTGAGCACCCGCGCCCCACACACCTGCTCCTTGCCACCCACGCTGGTCTTGAGGAGCCTCAGCGTCTTGGTGTAGTTGAGGCAGAAGGCACCGTGGCGCACCGCCGTGATGGCCAGGGAGAGAGCCATCCTGGCGTCATCGTGTTGGCCTGGTGGGGGGGGGACACGTTTTTAGTTTTAGTAGAGGTTTTACGGCGCTGGCAACTGCATAAGGTCATATGAACGCAAGAAGATTAGAGGTGCTACAAGAGAGTTACAAACATAAAAAAGAAGAAGAGGAGATAAGGACGATAGATGTTTGATAGGAAAGAAGAAGCAAACCACACCACAGCACCCGCCAACCACCCACAGTAGAGGTATAACGGAGCTCGCAACTAAACAAGGTCAAATGAGTGCCAAGGGGTGGATGTTAACAGAGAATTCCTTACAGGGAATCAGGCTTACTCTGATCACCTCTCTAGCTTCAACAGCACAAAGTCTGCTTCGACTATCAAGGCACCCCGGAAGTAGCAGGTCACAAGAGAGTGACAAACATACAGAAGAAATAGAGGAAAATGACGATAGTGAGGATTAGGAAAGGAAATTTACTCATTAATCCGATCTGTATGCTTTGCATAGCAGTCTGTCAAAAAGACCTTTTTAGAAATACTGAAAGTTTCAAAGAGACCTTCGTACTAGGGGTATTCTAAAATGTGAAGAATACAGCCCCGGGGATACAAACTGACCCCAGGGCGTACAGATAGGGTAAAATATAGTGTACAGCGCATAGCGCTTGCTTTTGAGGGGGGATGTTATTGTTGTTGTTGTTGTTGTTATCGATCCAGCAACAGCTGGGCTCTCGCCCTTCTGTCCAATGCCATGTAGTGATAAGTGCAGGTTTGCTGCAGTTACTGTAAAGTTCCATAGAGTGTGTTGTCAATGTTAGGTCTCGGACGGAGAAGGGTAGCTCTGATGTCATTTAGGGCTGTGCAGTGGATCGAGGGGGGATATGCGCTATACAAATGCTATTCATTATTATTATACTTATCATGTAATAATGTAATTATTGAATAAGAAATACGCGAATGCACATCACTACTGATTACTGGAACTGACCCGGAAGCTGTACCTGACTTAAGGAGGGAGACTTCACTTCCCCCAGAGCTGTGTCACCGTGAACAACACATTCTGAGTACATCAACACATTCTGAGTACATCTCATCAAGAGACATAACAGGTTATTAGTGCCTACAGATTATCTAGATCTAGATTCGTTACAATATTATATTACTATGAAACAATCCGCCATTCTCACCGTCGTAGTAGACCAGCGCTGCCTTGAGGGCGTCTCTCTTGAGCATGGGGAACAACTCCAGGGCCTTGTTCTTGCTGAGCAGGTAGCTGGGCTTGAGGAGTTGTCCCCCGGCCACCAGGTCGTACATTTTGATGCCCGCCCAGAAGTAGGGCACTTGCCACCACCTGGCACGGGGAGAAACGTACTCAAGGTCACATTGGTTCAGCGTTTTACAAGGAGGAAAATGTACCAAGTGTCCGATTGGTTTCTAGTTTTATATGGAAGAAAATGTACCCAAGGTCACAACGGTTCAGAGTTTTAGTTTAGTTTTAGTAGAGGTTTTACGGCGCTCGCAACTGCATAAGGTCATATTAACATCAGAAGATTAGAGGTGTTACAAGAGAGTAACAAACATAAAAAAGAAGAAGGGGAGATAAAGACGACAGATGTTTGCTAGGAAAGAAGAAGCAAACCACACCAGAGCACCCGCCAACCACCCACTTAAGCGTTTTACAAGGAGGAAAATGTACCAAGTGTCAGATTGGTTAAGAGTTTTACAGGGAGGGAAACATACTGGGTTTTTTTAAGTTTTCGTAAGAGTTTTACTGTACTTGCAACACAATAAGGTCATAATGTAAGTGCCGAAGATTAGAGGAGTTACAGGGAAGCAACAAACATGAAAAAAGAAGGAGGGGAGATAAACACGATAGATGTTTGATAGGAAAGAATAAGCAAACCACTCACGAGCACCCGCCAACCACCCACAAGTAAGAATTTTACAGCACTTGCAACACAATACGGTCATAATATAAGTGTCAAAGATTAAAGGTGTCACAAGAGAGTAACAAACACAAAATAGAAGGAAGGAAATAAAACAACGATAGATGTCTAATAGGAAAGAAGGAGCAAACCACATCAGAGCACCCGCCAACCACCCACATAAGCGTTTTACAAGGAGGAAAAAGTATACCATTTTTTTGTTTTAGTAAGATTTTGCAGCACTTACAAAACAACAAGGTCATATAAGTGCCGAAGATTAGAGGAGTTACAAAGTTACAAGAGAGTAACAAACATAAAAAAGGAGGGGAGATAAAGACAATAGATGTTTGATAGGAAAGAAGGAGCAAACCACCACACCAGAGCACCCACCAACCACCCACAGATCCCACTTTGGAAGGGTCCCACTTACTGGTAGACAGGCAGCATGATGGGTAGGGGGTAGGCCAGGTGGGGGGCGATCTCCAGCAGGTTGGCTCTCTCCCCCAGTGCCTCCTTTACCATGCGGTACTGAGGACAAAAATCACACACAATGAGGAGATTACTAAACAATCTGTTCTCCCAGTGCCTCCTTCACCATGCGATACTGAGGACGAAAACAATGAGGTGATTACTAAACCATTGGTGTGTAGTGAATACAAAAGTCACACACAATTAAGCAATATCTAAAACATCTCTCCCCCAGTGCCTACTTCACCATGCGGTACTGGAGAGAAAAGTCACACTCACAATGAGGTGATTACTTAACCATGCCATACTGAAGACAAAAGTGACACACACACAATGAGGGGATTACTTAACCATCTCTCTCCCAGACCCTCCTTCACAATGCGATACTGAAGACAAAAATCACACACCCATCAGTGAAAACAAAAGTCGCACACACACAATGAGGTGATTACTAAACCATCGGTTTCTTTTTGTTTTTAGTAGAGGTTTTACGGCGCTCGCAACTGCATAAGGTCATATGAGCGCCAGAAGTTAAGAGGCGTTACAAGAGAGTAAAAAACATAAAAAAGAAGAAGGGGAGATAAGGACGACAGATGTTTGATAGGAAAGAAGGAGCAAACCACACCAGAGCACCCGCCAACCACCCACTGTGAATGGGTTAATAAGAACCTCAGCCATGAGGCACACACAGACTGATCTGTTCATGACGAGAAAGAACAAAGTTCTGTAGTGAATGGGTTAAGAATCGCAGCCATGAGGCACAGACTGACCTGCTCATGACTAGAAAAAAACAAAGTTCTGTAGTGAATGGGTTAAAAATCCCAGGGAGGAGGCACAAATTGACCTGCTCATGACGAGAAAAAACAAAGTTCTGTAGTGAATGGGTTAAGAACCCCAGCTAGGAGGCACAGACTGATCTAGTCACGTAGTGAATGGGTTAAGAATCCCAGGGAGGAGGCATTCATGACGTGAGACTTACCTGTTCAATGTCCAGATTGAACACAGCCTTCTGCAGGTAGCGGACGCCTCCGTGGATCAGCTTTGTGCTGCGACTGCTGGTGCCAGAGGAGAAGTCAAATTTCTCCACCAGGCCCGTCTTCAGACCTAGAAAGAGAGAGAGAGGGGGAGGGGGGGGGGGGGGGGGGGGTTGTTTTTGAATGAGTTTTACGGCGCTAACAACTGCATAAGGTCATATGAGCGCGCGAAACACAAGTTGATTGCATTCACAACAGTTCACTGCCCGACTGGGCTCGGGTCAACAATCAGATTTTAAAATGTTAAAATGTTACAAATTTGAGGTAAATAAGTTCTTTGTTTTAGCAAAGATTGTGTATAACAAAAGATAATTAATTCCCCTCTTTGAGCCAATTAAAAAAGTGTCCTCAAAATTCGGTGGTGCCTTCTTCAAAAAAATAGTGCGGACTTTGTGATCAGAGTTACCTTACTTGTGTGAAAAACAATAAAAGTGAAACTAACAAACTGTGCTATTCCTATTCTCCTTCTGGAGAAACGAAAGAGAGCTTCAAAATAGCTTTTTTGGCTGAGTAAACTATCTTGTCAAGTACGACCTTTGGTTTTAGTAAGTGCTTAACGGCACTCGCAGCACAATTAAGTCATATAAGTGCCCAAGATTAAAATGAGAGGTGTTACAAGAGAGTAACAAACACATAAAAAAGAAGGGAGGGGAGATAAAGACAATAGTTGCTTGAATGATAAGACACCCGCCAACCACCCTCAACGCAGTCAAATGATGATACAAACTGATGGAGTAGATCGTGAAACACAGAAATGGTCAATATAAAGTGATGTACCTTCACCTATTTTCTTTCAATCTTGATCAAATAATATCATTTTATCCATTGTATTTCATTCTCGACAAAATAAAGTATTTTTCATCTTTGAGCTTTATCTTTTGCCACTCATTCTTGATAAGAATAAAGTAAGCTTGCTTTTTTCTTCTTTCATTCTAGCATAATACTTAACAAAATAAAAATACAGTTATATGTCTTTTCTTCTTCCTTCCATTCTTCTTTAACACCTCGGAGAGAGTCCGCACAAGCCAGGTGTACTCACCACCAGTGACACAAGCCAGGCGTACTCACACACAAGCCAGGTGTACTCACACACAAGCCAGGTGTACTCACACACAAGCCAGTTGTACTCACACACAAGCCAGGTGTACTCACACACAAGCCAGGTGTACTCACCACCAATGACACAAGCCAGTTGTACTGGTACTCACCGCGAGTGACAGAGTCCAGAGCCACGCCCAGCCCCGTGGCCCCTCCCCCTATAATGAGCACATCCATCTCCTGTGTCTTCACACTGTTGATCAGCTCCTCCCTCAGGGGCAGGGGGGCGTTCATCTTCTGGATCTCATCTTGACTCGGCTTCTTCGACTTTGCCTGACAACACACAAGTACACGCAGTAATAGATTAATAGTAATAGTTTAGTTTTAGTTATAGTAAGAGTTTTACCGTACGGCACTTGCAACACAATAAGGTCATATAAGTGCCGAAGATTAGAGGGGTTACAAGAGAATAACAAACATAAAAAAGAAGGACAATAGATTTTTTATAGGAATTGAAAAACCTGTACGAATCATGAATTAACCCCACTGGTATGCCCTGTTGTCATTTTGTACCCCCGGGGTTGTATTCTTCACATTTTAGAATACTTCTAGTACGAAGATCTCTTTGAAACTTTCAGTATCTCTCAAAAAATTATTTTGACAGACTGCTATGCAAAGCGTACAGATCGGATTAACGAGTACTTTTCCTCTTTGGAAAGTGGTAGCACAGATTTACCGACATCGTACGGATACGATAATAAAACACGACGTACGGATAGGGTTAATTAATGCTTCTTTTTTAAAGGGCAACAAAAAAACTGTGCATCTTTGAGTGTTGTCTAATCATCAGAATGCGCATCCTCAATGAGCTCCATTCAATTCTTCCCAAGACACTTGCCACACATTGCGCCAACAGTCTATACATTACATATGTAAATGATCATCTTCTACTTCTCATTCATCTCTCTAAAAGGGCGTACCGATCTCTACATAATAATATAATGTACTATATAGTGTGAAGGTTACTGTTCGCTGTAAGTCCGGGGCTGCCCACCACCCTCCAGCATAATGTTTTAGTAATCAGCAAATAAAAAATAAGTAACCTAGTTTAAAAATTCATAACATGGCCGCCACGGATCGTCTCCTTCCCCCTGGGGTGTCAAGGACAGGAGTTGTAGGCAAACAGGTATATAAAAGTAACGTAAATGAAGGTAAGATGAAAAAAAGAGGTCTTGACGGGCTCGTCACTGGTCGAGTTAAGGGGTGGGGGGCAGAATAAGCCTATCTCAGCAAATACCACTCTTAAGTAAGGAGCTTATATTTGATGTGAGCGATTACATGACAATGGAGATTTGTTACCAATTGTCAACAAAAAAATGTACGGATTCAGTTGCCATGGAAACCGCGGCCATATTGGATTTCAGAGACATAATGTGGTACCATTTTCTAACCTTTATTATCATTATTATCAGTATTATTATCATTATTATTAGTGGTAGTGGTAGTGGTAGTGGTAGT